TCCTGGTTTCTTTTTTGATCACACACTTATTTAGGGATTCCCATAGCCGAACATAGACACTTCCATTATATTCATATTTTGGTCTTATTTTTTAAAGAGTTAATTCTTTTGCTTGTCCGAGTTGTTCACATGTATGGGCAAAGCGTGCATTTTGCCTTTAAAATTATATGGGAGACGGGGTATCATTGACTGAGCTCACATAACCTCTAGTTTATAAAAACATTCAAAAATTTTAAAAGAAGTCTCCTTAAACGGTATATATTCACATTCCGTGTATTTTTCCTAATAAAATGTATTAGAAATCCGAGACATTCAAATTACTATAACACACTCGAAACCTTGTCACCGCGCGTTAGAAGACACAGTAGGAACTACATGCATTTTCTATAATCTAGGAACTCCAAAATGTACAATGTGTTGACTCAATTAAAACAAAAACTGTCATCCTGTTAAATTAACGTAAAATTACTACAGATGTGAGTTTAAAATTAATTTGTCACTTTAACCTCGCTATGTTTGTTGCGTTATCTAACTTTGTTACGTCATCTGACGTCACAAACGGCTCTTACGTCTGTTAACCATGTCAGTTTTGAAAGGCGCTCAATAAAGAATTCACAATAAAGATAACCGAAATTAGAATTGTGAAGCAGGGAAATAAGAGAATGTAAATATAAGCATTGAATTCATATTTTTGGCTGTCTTCGGTCCTATAACACACATGGCCGTGCCGTCAAATTTTCAATTTGTCGGCACGGCCAGGTGTGTTATAGGACGGAAGACAGCCAAAAATATGAATTCAATATCTAATTAAATGTATTTTTCTTCGAAAATAAAGTAGGTTGAGTTTATACAAGATCCATTTTCTGTTATTTTTAGGTATTTATGATTTTTATGAAATTATGGTGATTCAAAACCAACTTCGAGGTAAAAATATATATATATATATATATGATTAAAATTAATTACTTTGAATATTTTCGTCTTCATAAGAAAGTAAAAGTTGGATGATCATTTATAGAATACATCCATGTTCCTCTAAAATGTAATTGAAAACTTTTTTTGTTCTCCATTTCTTTATCAAGTACCTTTTTTTAATGTTCAAAGATGTCAAATTAAACAAAATATGTTGAAATACATTTAACTAAGCCAAATGTAACCATTATATTTAATAAACTCTCATGCGATATCTGCTGGCGAATCTTTTTAAAAATTGATTTAAAAAAAACATTTCAATCGAAATAAAAATGCAATGCATGCACCGTCCTACATGTTTCTAGAACAATGCTCTCTTTAGAAAATAACTAATAAAATCTAATAAAAAGGAGTAAAAAAAACTATACAATAATTTTAGGTCATACAACTCTTTTATGAAAAAAATACACAACCAGATATAAAGAAAATAAAGTGCATTGAACACCTTTAAGCCTCATTTCAAATAAACACGAAAAAAATACAAAGTAGTTTCAATTGCTCTTGATCTGCTTGGTTAAGTACTATCTCCGGTTTAAGAAGAAAGCATCAAAAACGACTTCAAATATGCATCATTACTTATAGGTTAGTAATATCTACTTTAAAATTGATTGTGATGTCTCATGGTTAATTTAGGGAAATCCCCAACCGTCTCTATATATACGGCCGTGTGTTGTCGTCTAGGACAAAGTGATATCTATCGCTAGCACTAGTATTTAATCTGTACTTTGAAACCATGAAGTTTGCTATTCTCTTTACGATTCTGATAATAATTTCCGAAGCCATGACAGATTCCTTGTTAACTGGTACTTATAATCCGAACTGTACTCTACGTGATGTAAAGGAAATCGACGTCCTCCGTCAGCTTGTAAACCAAGAGACCCTCATCCGGGTATCCGTGGTCAATGACGTCAGAGCAGCAGTGAATGACATCAGCTCTGTTAAAAGAAGTTTGGAGGTCACTGAGGCAACGGTCGCCACTCTGCTGCAAACGATAGCAACGCTAAAAAGAGAGATTGCAACCCTGAGGCAAGACGACTCTTTATCGCAGAAGATCGAAAAATTAAAAAGGCAAATCGATACTTTAAATCAAAACAACTCTTTACAGCAGACCGTGGAAGTTTTGAGAAGGCAGATCGGTTTTCTCAGACGTGACAGAACTTTACAGAACTCGGTAAACTCATTGAAAAGAGAAATTAACTCCCAAAAGCGGGAGGGCAGGGAAAATATTGAAAATTGTCAGAAAAGGTTGCAGGAATTTGATCAAAAGTTCAAAATTCTTAGTGGAAATATAACGGCTATCGAACAGTATCTTACAAGGACCGAGGGGAAAACCATGGAAAAAGGTAATTTATCATTCTCTTTCATTTTCTTTCATCCCCCCTCTCTCTCTCTCTCTCTCTCTCTCTCTCTCTCTCTCTCTCTAGCTCCGTATATAATAATGACTCTCTGGATCATAATATCATATTCTCTTTCAGGTGTAAAACTAACAAGGGACTGTAGAGATCATTATTTACTTGGACACAGACAGTCTGGCGTATATAACATAAACCCTTTTGGTAACGAGACCAGTGTCAGCGTGTATTGTGACATGGTGACTGAGGGAGGAGGTTGGACAGTAAGATCTATTTTTGTATTTTGTCTCTCTCTTCTCTCTTCTCTCTCTTCTCTCTCTTTCACTTTTCTTCCTCTCTTCTCTCTCTGTCTCTCTATCCCATGAACTCCATGTACTATACTATCTTTTATAAACTTATAAAACTTTTTTCTCCCCTCTGTCTCTCCCTTCCTCTCTCTCTCCAATCAATTTCAGGTATTATAATATATCTTTCATAAATGATTTTTTTAAACTGATATTTAATATTTATACTGAAAACAAACTGACAAAAGTGATCATTTAATCATTTTTTATTTATCCTAACTTATAAAAAGCTAATAACATCGTGACAGTAAATATTTTTCATCACAAATTAGAAAAAAATGTGTACTATATCATGGATGTAGAGGCAAAACTTAAATATTTGTTAAGAAGTGAATACTTTAAGTAGATTTTCATATTAAGAATAGTTTATAAAATTAAACAATCGGATAATGTTTAAAGAATTGTTTCGTTGTCCTCTGTGGGCAGACTGGCCATACGGTCCCTACTCAAAACTTATTTTGCCCCAAATAAGCAATTATTTCTTCATGTACTATGGAAATATCATTTTGAAAATAAACATTGCAATCGAATTTATTTTTTTAAAAATTCAGACCAAATCGGGAGGGAGTAACCATTTTGTTTTTTTTTTATTTTAGCTCAGTTTAAAATTTACTTATAATTTAAATGAAAGAATATGCTAAAATTAAATGACTTTTTAATGAATAACGTATTTGAAACATTGTTTACTGTAAAACGTAGTAAAAAAAAACACTTCACTACTTTCCTTAATAAACCCACATAATTCATAAATCCTTAGGCTATCCAGAAACGTGTGAGTGGTTCGGTGTCATTCGACAGAATGTGGTCCGACTACAAGACGGGATTCGGTGTCATTCGACAGAACATGGGCGAAGTATAAGGATGGGATTCGGGAATTCTAACGGTTCCTACTGGATAGGTAACATATAAACAGTTATAGAATTACTACAGAGGACATAACAAATTTATAGCTCCCCGAGGGTTAAGATTCCAGATACAGAAATATTCCCCTCCCTCGGGGAAGCATTAATTTGTTATTTACATTGTACCCATTCTATAACTGTGTAATATTTTGATGATGTTTTAGGGGATGATAATTCTTCTGATTATTAACAGTTTAAATTAGCAATTAATTTTTTTAGCAGTTAAAATGAAGTTTTTAACAATTTATGTAAAATGCAATATAAAACGATTTCCCTACTTTGATTTCAAAACATGTATGTTCATTGCTGCATGCACTACACAATTAGAAATTTCTGCATACCTTCATAATCATATGTTGAATTATATGACAACTGGAAATAAATATGTTTTGCTTTATTAATTCTTTATATATTATACGACGATAAAATATTTAAGGAAATGAAGTCATACATCAACTTACCAAGAGAAGTAATTCCTCCCTCTACGTATCCATCACACTGACTAATGGGACAAAGCTCTATGAATTATACAACCAGTTCTCTGTTGATGACGAAACCAACAACTACCGACTTTTTCTTGGCGGGCCAGCTACCGGGACCCTGGGTAGGTAAACGGGAAAAAAGAATGTACGAATGACGACCTATATTAAGGAGAGAGAGAGGTAGAATGAGTTTATTTTCTTGTGACAGATAGACAAATGCCAATTCTTTCTGTGAGAATCAACCCTAGAATTACGTAATTAATGGAGGGGGATGCGTGGATATCAATATTTTGAAAGTAAAATTTTCCTTGTATATTGAAAATCAAGAGTCCCTACTATATGGGCCAATCAGTAATAAATTGCTAAAAGATTGAACATTTTCACGTCATAAACACTACATGCGTACTTGTACGTAATGTTGTCAGATACATAACTCATACAGAGAAATCAATTAAGGTGTTAAACGATTATTGAATAAAAAAACATGCATTGGAAATGTAATTAATTACAGTCGATAACAATGACTTTTTGTAATTTTCTCGCTTTTGTGTTGAACTGCTCAATTGCCGTGTAGAACATGTATTATAAATCAAAATTTCTAGTTCTCAACTGGCAAGTGATGGCGTCACAATATGAGTGAAAAATGTTCGAGAGGGACGCTAAACAAGATACAATCAATAAATCAATCAGTCTTTTATTTCTGTTGAGACTCATCATGTTCGTATACAGTCAAAAAAGAAATCAAATGACAACAGAAAAACCACGTTAAATATTAAATGAAAACAGTGTTCATCTATTGTAATTGAAAGCAATGCAATTTAAAGTAACTCAAAAAAAGTTTTTATTGTTGAATACTATAGATGCTTTAAGCATGAAATGTTAAGTAAATAATAATGATCTCATCTGAAATAGGTGTTTATGTTATATTTATCTTTGATAATTTTACAGGTGACTCTATGTTACACACTGGTGATTCTTACCACGATCTGTCTGGGATGTCGTTCAGTACCCCGGACAGAGATAACGACGGGTATAGAGGTGGTCACTGTGCTGCTCTCAGTAGGGGAGGCTGGTGGTTCAATGACTGTAACCGAGCCTTCCTTAACGGTCAATGGTCCCCGGGGTCCTGGTGGTACCCATGGTATCCTACAGTGACTGATAGTAAACAGATAAAAGAGACCCTCATGATGATAAAACCTAACTGACTTTTTATATCTTTATATCCATACTTGTTCACGCATGATATGAAAAGTTACATACTTTTATTATAGATGATGAAAACTTTACTTTTAGACATAATGGTGGTTTCTACAGTATATACAATGTAATAGATATATAATGTTATTATGTGTAATGAATTTATTGAAAAGTCCTTATGTGTATTATGTTTAAGATAGTGTTGTATATGTAACATTCATTACTAAAAACAAGAAAATCGCATTTACTATTGTTACATAATAAAACTTTTGTTTTTATTTTATCAATTGTAGTTTTATAATTAATAGTCTAATGATATAAAGTATGTTAACAACAAACACAATGTTTTTTTTTTAATATATTCCTTGAATTTCAACTGATCCCCGTGAAAGGTCACATAACTGGGTAGAAGTAGTATTCATCAGTCTGTCATCTCCGTACATGTGTGTTGATAATTAGAATTTCATTCTGTTACAGTTTATGAATGATGTAGAAATGATAATTGCGTAAATTTTATTTTCAAACACCAATATTACTCGTTACTTGTTCGTGTATTTTATATATACAGTGAGTGGAAAATGCTCCATGTAATTCCAAACCAATGAATGGGAAAACAAAGTATTATATGATGACTTTTTATGACAATAACGTTGAAGGCCTTCACAGAGTAACGTCATAAGCAAAAATCAAAATTCCCGCTCTTCTTGAGCAGTTTGAAGTTTTATAAGCCACCTTTAGAAACCTTAACGTCACACTGAAATATATTTGAGTCTTTTAGACAAAAATGCTACAGATCCCTTGAAGCAAATGTTGTTCATTTTACGGCGCTAAATTTTGCGCATGGATAGGGATATAAAAAATGCATGGTTATTGTCTTGAAATATAAGCGATATTTGGGCGAGGGAAAGAAAATGTGATAGAGGGCGAGGCTTGCGTTTTCAACCCTAATCCCAAATATCGCTTATATTTCAAGACAGTTATCATGTATTTTGTTTATCCTGCAACAAAATTTTACATTTGAACGTCCAAAACAAGCTTTCTCCGACTGATTTAGGCACATCTCTGCAGTTGAAACTAGGAAGCCATGGCGTAAACATTGCAATAAATGTGACGTAACAATGCTTTTAGAACGTCGGAATTCATGCGCGATGCTTTATTAGGGCAGTGACCGGATAAAGCTTTGGTTTATTAGGTTAGCTTTATTAGGTCAGTGCAAGGGGTAGTTGCAGGATAAAATTTTTTTCTACTTTCCTGCATTATTTTGTAAACCACCTGTCCTTTCCTAATTTGAGAAATACTCTTTAACAACCTGTATGTTATATCTACCCTCTGACCCTTTATAATCGTCCATTAAACCTTATTAAATCGGTTTTTTTTTATTGATAAAAACATTTTTTTCGGGCAGGGGGTCACAGGAGAAGCCTATAAAGGGAATGGGGGCGGATACAAAATACAGGTTGAAAAAAGAATATATCTTACATTTGGGAATGAAAGGTAATTGATCGTTTAATGCTGAAATGAAAAAAAACATATCCCCAAAGTTGGCAGAAGACGTCGTTAACTACTCAATACTTACTTTAGGAGATCGGTTGCGTTTTCATCAATAATAAAATATAAAACATAACGCTACGGTTTCTGTAGCTAGAAGTAGATTCATGTTTCAAGGCTTTTAAATTATAAAGTATTGTAGACAAAATTGATAAAAGGATTAAAAAAAGACACAATTTTAATGCTGGAGGTATAAAAATAAAAATGTCCCCATTTATTTATTTATTTTTTTTTTTTTTATATCTTTCAAAAATATACTTAATTATAAATCAGCTTATACATATTTAATGCCCCCACCCCCCTCCTCCCAAGGATTTTTTTTAAAAAAAGCATAAATATTTACAAACTGTTACCCGCGTGCAAAGGAATGGCTCTAATGTGCTGAATTCTAGTCATGTCATATCTTAAGTCTATTATTTCTAGTCAACTGATAATTAAAACAAGCTCGCGTATTAAGGAAATAATGCCATTTTGTGTTCTTATGTTACTGATATAAATGTTAATATTGTCTGGTGTATCACATTTTGTGTTCTTATGTTACTGATATAAATGTTAATATTGTCTGGTGTACAGTGGACCTTCAGATATCCGGGCGCCAGATATCCGGATGCTTCAGTATCCGGACGCTTTTTCATCGGAACATAATTTCAAAATGTTATTATGTCTTGTTTAACTGGTGATTCAGGTATCCGGACGCTTCACATATCCAGACAAATTGACTGGGAACCAAAGCGTCCGGATAAATGAGGCTCCACTGTATTACATTTTGTGTTCTTATGTTACTGATCTAAATGTTAATATTGCCTGGTGTATTAGCAGACTTTATCTATAGCCTGAGTACGTCTTGCTTACCATTAAGTTGGCATGATTACAAAAAAGGTATATGTCTGACGAAGGTTTAAAATTCTGCCATTGCCACATGTGTATCATCTTCTCCCTTCAGTTCTTCAAGTAATACTTCAACCGGATAAAGCATATTGACTTATTGAGACACAATGCAATCAAGATTGATGACTTAGATATGGTTTTCCCTACGATGAAATTATAATAAATGGGCCTAAACATAGATCATCAATGCTGTAGTTATTCTTTCTAACCAAAAGGTTTAATTTTGCTCGACAGAAATTGAATTGCACAGTAAAATAACCTAACTTAACCCGAACTCACGTGTACACAATGGGTGCAGCTATTATGCTTGAGGCATGCTGGGATGCACAAATCAGGTCAAAATTACTCAGTAATCAAATAGATATCAACATGTTCTTATCTCTAAATCACTTAATACTATCAATTAAAACTATATTCTCTTTAGCATTATAACTAAAGAAATGTTCGTCCTAAGACAATATATACATGTAAAAATACACATGCATCTATAGAACATGACTAAATGTTAGCAACCACATGTAAATTACTGTTAACCTACTTACTTTGCAGCCTTTTACACTTATTCATACATTTAGTATTCTCATAGCGAGTCACAACATATTCCTAACATAAACTTCATTTTTTTCCTTGGATAACAGACATAATAAACTGAGAAGAATAGAATATCATCTGAAGAAGAAAGACGAAGACACACATGTGGCAAAGAAGATTTATTAAAATTGGGGATTCACCGCTTCTGGTCAGAGGAGTCGAAAAATATTAACAGAGTTATCCCGCTTTCTCCAAAAATTAAAATACAACTCCTACTAATTTGTACATACACTGCACTTCGCCTGTTATGCAAATTTTCCCATCTTTCCCACTATTGTTGATTCCCTGGCATAGTCTCCTACCTAGATAGTGATTCCTTAATAACCAAGGGATATACAGGAAGTAGAAAACCGAAACTTTCCTATTTAATAAATTAAGGAGGCCCATTACACCACTTTTTTTTACTACACAAAAATAAATTAATGTATTCACAATGATTTTAGAACAGATGAAGACAAAAAATAGCACATTTATATATTTTATTTATTTTCCATGTAAAAATAAAACGTTTACCCTTTGAAGAAAAATTGTTGAGGAATGATATTTTTTTTTTTGTTTTGTTTCCTTTCAAATGAAAAGTGGGAAGTTTTCAAGGTACGCTTTTCGTATTGTGAGTTACTGATACATGTGTATCACGATTTGTAATAAACAGATTATATACATGCTATTGTGTGATCTTTTGATACGTTGGTATAAAATATTAATTTATTCCATGTAATTAAGTATTTAATCAATTTGTTAGAAACAATGAGAAATATTGAAATATATGTTTATTTTTCTTTGATTCTTTTTATGGTTTTTATCAGTGATTTAAAAAGAAAGTTTTAATTTTGCAGACGTACTATTAGTTACCTGTTCTCTTTAAATCACGTTTTTTTAAGAAAGCAATTATAAACATGTAACACATTTATTACAGTACTTGTACTTTAGAATAGAACATTCTTGAGAATATTTAAGTACTGATTGAATCACGCAGTGGAGCATGTTGAGAATTATACAATAGAGGAAAATCGGCGAAAATTATATATTTAAAAAGAGGAACGTTTAAGATAAAAAAAAAAGTAGAGAGATCAAAATGATAGTTACGAGGGTTGTCCGTAAAGTTCGTGGACAAGCTCAAATTTTAAGAAAAATGATGTCATTGATATTTATTATTAACATATTTATAATCCTTTACTCAATCTCAATTACAAAATGTAAAATTATATTCAATTTCAAATAAATAATTATAATAATGGCTCCATTATTAGACTTGGGAAGGTTACCCGGAGCACTACAAAATTTTAATTAAAAAGTTATTTATCACTTTATAAATTTCATTTGTATTTTATAAAATTCTGCGGAAATTCGGATTGCTTTTATATTCGGAGGTTGACAAAAGTTATAACTACAAACCTGCAAAATTTGAACGTTCAGAGTTCAGAAATGGCTGAAAAATCGAGGATAGAATCTATTAGGACAGGATCAGCTTTGTTCGAAAAAAGGACGTTTTTGAAATAGGTGGAGCAGTGAGCAATGATAAAACTATGTGTAGACGTCGGAAAAACACCAACAGAGACCCTTAAATGCTGTTAACAGTCGGGAAAATATAGTATAGAAAGCCGTTCTTAAGTATTTAGTTGAAAATAAAATTTTCAGACGGAAGGAACAGTTTACAGGATGACATGCGTGAAGGAAGACCATCATTCCGAGAATGCGGTGCTGTAAAAAGTAAATTTCGTAATGTGAATTTGCCCTATTTCCTTAAATGAAGTCTTTTTTACGCGGACAGGGGTAGGATGATTGCAGGTAATGAGACAGGCATTGTTAAATATTATTTTACGTATGAAACCTGAACATTTTGTGCACATTTTTATGACTGGTTAAAGCGACATAAGAAATGTATTGAGTTGAACGGTGGCTATGTTGAAAAAAGTCACATGTACTCGTATTAAGCTTTTGACGTCAGGTTACGTCAAGGATTTTCGTTTTGGTGCTCCGGGTATGAGTGTGTTTCTTTTTTGTATCTGATAAAAATATGACTATTTGTGCTTTGTTTTTATTGAAAACTTGCATATTAATAAAATGAAACATGAATTTATTGAAAATAATAGTTTCATGTATTTTAACAATGTTTGTCAGCAATTATCAATGTTGTCCACGAACTTTACAGACAACCCTGGTACATCAATTTTTTGCCCCTGGTAATATTATTTTCCTTTTTCCATGCATGCTATCAGCAAGTTTTTATAGACCATGCAGTTAAGTAGCTGAGACATTGATAGGATGTCGGTGGTTTTGCGTCTGTGAACCATTTATTAGTTTTATTCATTTTTTAGTTAGTCGCCCGCGTGTCCCAGTGGTTAGAGTCTACCGTCGCGAGGTAGGAAATCCCATTGTGTGACGTGGAGACCGGTCCTTCGAATGAGGCTGTATAAACCGAGGTCCAGTGTCGCCGTAGATGCTGGCACAAAAAAGATTCCTCCCTGCTTAATTTTACTTAGCACCGAGTTTAGGACAAAAT